CCACCACTCCCAAGCTTAACCCTTTTGAAAATTAGAAGTATGTTTTCTAATTTTCAGTCTTCTGGCCCATTTTGTACTCTCTTGCAGTGTTTCCAGATGTCATACCTAAGTTGCCATAGTGCCAGGGGTAAAATTTTCCAGACCCCAAGACTCAAATTCACTTCGAGTGTTTAAGATGAAATAAGTCTGTTGACAGTCACAGGAACGAACTTCCTTGAATTGGAGTATTTTTCCTTTAAAGCAAGACTTTTCCGAGAAAGAATTGGCATACCCTGTCTCAGAGAGAAGGAAGGGAATGGTAATTGACAAAGACCTTTCTCCCATGTATCAGACTGAGTTCTGAGGGATAGTATATTAGCTAGTATATACCCGTGCTTAAAAAACTAAAAACACCTTTTTTTCCTGCCTTCATTTGTTTTAATTTAAGCTGTTACATTATCTTTATCTGTAGTGCCCTCCCCACCCTCCATTCTCCCACTTGCCTTAGGTATTGTGTTCTCAAATCATGTGTCTTTTTTTAAACACAGAAATATTTTCTAGCCAGTCCAAAGATCTGGAAATAATAGGGTAAGTGGTAACTGAATTGGAGTTTTCTATTCTTTGAAAAAACTATTAAAATAATTAGTATGTCTTTCATAAATTATCAGTGGGTCAGCTGAGCATTTATCTTATGATAATTCTACCTTCACTATTTATTTTTAAAACTGTGGTAACATTGGATCCATCCTATCCACGTGTGGACCAAAGGTTTGCCATCTTCCTTATTATTGGGAATCCAATCCAGTCTCTTGGCCTCAGGAAGGCCTTTATTTAAGGGAATTTTATGTTCATTAATAAAACATTTTTTTTAAATCTGTGTTTTCTTCAGCAGAACATGAGTAGGTAGTGAATGAAACCACACCAAAGAAACACACCCTTTCTACCTTCCACTTTCTGTCACCACGGTGTCTTCTTCTGAATGGCAGTGCTGAGTTTGTGAAAGGGAGAATCCCTGTGGATCTCTGACGTAGACACCGGTGCCCTGAGCACGCCCCCCTGTTCTGCTGCTGCACTGTGCAAGGTTGCACGCCATGTTTTTATCTTTGGAATATTTACTCATATTTTTAATGCTAAAATGTCCTACAAAATAAATATGTAAATGAAACAGTGAGAATACAACTTGAATGGACATTGACGAGCTAGAAGATGATGGGGGAGTGAAGGTCATGTGGCAGACTTCTTAGGACTCCACCTATTTGTCCTGATTCCATCTGTGTTAAGAAATAACATGGACCTTTTAAAGCTCTTCAATCATGGCTGTCTTTCAAGGTTAAAGCGAGGCCGTAGTATTTCTGCTAACTTGCCCGGGTTGTTCTCAGAATCTACAAGGATTCAAGGAATCTGGAAAAGGGGCTGTGTGTAAATTTATAAAGAGACTAGAAATATAAGTTTAGAATACATGGGGGAGCCAGGGAAAGCTTAGTTCTAATAACCAAGCTTTTCTGAATCTCTGTCTCCAGGGCTTTTTAGTCACACATTTTGCCCTAAAGTAAAGCAGATATACATATCAAAGGTAAGGTTTGGTAAGCAGTGAAGTATTATGTTGGGGGAACTACCTACAGCTGTTCAGCAGCAGGTAATAACATGTAGATTTTCAGATTTGGGGAGATGCTTTGGCCATTCAGCTGTTTGGCCAGCAGGCAATAACATGTATCTTCAGCCCTGCTGAAGCCTCAAGGTTCACCAACCTTTTGATGAACTTCTTGCATTTATGACCTGCTGGAATTAGCCTCCAGCACTAACTGATCTAGAGTATAACAATATGGCAGCTCGAAGTTGAGGATGTAAATTAGTTGGACACACAAAAAAATTGCAAGGCTGTTTCTTAGGCAGGAATCTCCAATTTGGGGATTGCCTTGTGAGCAAAGATAGCGCCTAATAAGTAGGCCGGAGTAAAACAGTACATAAATGTTGATAGAATCACATTTTTAGGCACATCCTTTTTTAAAAAAATTCTTTATTGTTTAAAGTATTACATATGTCTCCCTTTCCCTCCCCCCCTCCTTGACCCCTTCTAGCCCACCCTCACCACCCCCGCCCCAGGACTTCACCACCCTATTGTCTGTGTCCATGGGTTATGCATATGTGCATACAAGTTCTTTGGTTGATCTCTTCTCACCCACCTGTAAGAGTTCTTTCTTTTTTACAGCAGCATTAGTATACCATTATAGGCAAATCCTTTATTGGGTCCTGGGAAGGTCAGATGATGTTCATTTTATTCACACACACATACTTTAAAATATCAACCTATTTTTATTCAATATTTGGGGTATGAGAAGAAGGTTCCACATACTGTTCCAGCCATAAAGAGAAAAATATAGTGAGAAGATGGGAAATCAGACTAGTCATTCTTCAAATTTGAAGAGATGGAAATTTTAGTACCAGTGGAGAGGAATGGCCCATTTGAAAGAGATGTTGGACAGATGCCTAGATCTTTCAGGAAAGGACACTTCAGAGCAGCCCAGCAGCTGGGCTTACAGTTGAGGTAGAGCCACCAAAGAACTAAAGACAGGAAGTTCAATTGCATTTCACTTTTGTAGTTTCACTTTTATACAAAGGGTTCTTCAATCACTATCATTCATTCATTCATTCATTCAGCAACCATTTGGTGAAGTTGGCTCTGTACCAGGCACCACTGGAGCCCCTGGAGCCCCAACAATGACCATGACATGGGAGCTCCCTCATGAGGGGTACTTCTGGGGCATTTCTCTTATGGCCTTCCTGTAGGGAGTTGCCTTGCCAGGTAGTCCTGCCAGGAGGAATCCTTCATCCGACAGATGAGATATTCATCCTCTTTCTTCCCAGCTGATATCAGCATTAGTCCCTTTCCTCTCTGTCCTGCCCGCCCTTCTGTGCCACCAAGGTCTCTTTAGAGAAGATGGATCTCTCAGGACTGAATGGGAGATTTGTTTTATTTCTTCCTTATCCTTGGCAAGGACTCTCATTTTTTTTTTTAACAAATAAGGCAGAACACATCAATAGGAAAAGAAAAATAAGAACTTTCCTTGCCAGTGTTGCTTAGTTACCTAGTCAACATTCCCTTAGAGCCCGGCTGAATTCTCCTGCATATTTTTATAGTGCACATCATGTTTTATTTCTATAATTGATCTATTAAGCAGGAAATATGGAGAACATATGGAGCTCCTGTCAATGTTATGCTGTTTATTTGGATTTCCATGTTTCTCTTTCCACAAGACCTCATTATCATCTCTTTTCATTCTAACCTGGGTAACAATGGGCAGGAATCGCATCACTATTTATATCGGTGCTTTTAACTTTGTAGCTTAAAAAGCAAAACCCAAAAGACTAACCTCAAAGCTAGACATCACATTGTGGATTTTTCAAAGGGAAGGGGCCAAGTTTTTAGTTGCTCTGTATTCTTTCTGCCTTAGTGCCATGTCTGCCACATAAAAGGCCTTTAGTAAATGTTTATTGGTTAAAAGAACAATTGGTTTCACATATTTATTGAGAACTAGCATTGTAGTGGGTGCTATTCATAATATAGAATGTGCTTATAGTTTCTACCGAGGGAACAAAACTTATGACTTGTTCTTTTCTTCCTGGAGACAACAAGGACAGAGAATAATGACTGTTACTGTCAACACTACATTTTATTTAGTGCAAGAAGCTTTTCTGCATGAGGCTGTAGCAGCAGTATCCGCAACCACGTTCTAGCTGGTATTTATGAAAAGGCATTCACTGGTAATCTCCTAGCTTCAGGGTGCTGTGCTGTCCAAATCATTCAAGATCAAAATACCCGGTCATTGTCACCATCTGTCAAGGCCATTGTATTCAAAACAGTGCGTCTCTGGGTTATTCTCTTTCTCACACACACATATGCAAACTCAACAGGAAACTGTGTTTATGATGCCAACAAAACACCAAATGAAAGTTTATTTAATCATCTCTTTCCCCAGCCAATCAGGCACCCTTTCAAACCAGTGTTCCTCAAAGCATATACTTCTTAGATTTTACTAATATGCAGACTTAGATCTACTAAGTCTGGGAGGAGGTCCAAGAGTCTGCATTTCTAATAAGATCTCTTAGATCAGGCCTTGATAGTTAAAGCATCACCCATGGACCAGTAGATTTGGCACCACCAGGGAGCTTGTTAGAAATGCAGATTGCGCCCTGGCTAGCATTACTCAGTGGGTAGAGTGCCTGCCTGTGCACCAAAGGGTCTTGGGTTTGATTCTGGGTCAAGGGCATGGACGTGGTTGCAGGTTTGATCCCTGGCCCTGGTTGAGGCACATGCCAGAGGCAACCAATTGATGTGTCTCTCTCACATCTCTCTCTCTCTCTCTCTCTCTCTCTCCCTTCTCTCTTCCCTTTCTCTCTTTCTCTCTCTCTTCTTCCCACTCTCTAAAATCAATGGGAAAATGTCCTCAGGTGAAGGGGTTAGGATTAACAAATAAATAAAAAGAAAGAAATACAGATTCTTAGGTGCCATCTCAGACCTACTGGGTCAGATCCTGGGTTTTAACAAGATCCCACATCAACATTTGAGAAGCATTGTCCTAACCATTTAATATGCCTGCAATATAAGGCAGGAGTCCTGATGGGGCTCTGGGTTGGAAAATAGGCAGGTAGACTTCCTGTGCCCATTTCAAAACTCTTGTGTACCTCTCCCCCAATTTAGCACCTGGCACCAGATAAAGGCACAGACAGATGTCTCTTTGTTTAATCATTCATGGTATGATGGATTTGTTATGTATCTTGACTACCATGTTCATCCATAACACCTTGGAGAGGTCCATTGGGCCTATGACCACACAGGGAGGAGTAACCAGAGACTTGACCAAGATCACAAATACAGATTCCCAGGGGTTTGGCTTAACCTCCACATCCACATACCTGGATGGAAGTGGGCACAGCTAAATGCAAAGTGGAAATCTGGTCTAAGCCTTTGTCATTTCTTAAACGCAACCTGGGCATTTATGAGACTCTTTTCTCTCCTTTAGGAAAAAACATGAGATTCCCCTGGAAATCGCTTGAGAGGAAGATGGAAGGGGCCATTTAAAAGTGACAGAAGCTGCAGGCCGCAAGACTGGGGCCGGAGGGCTGGCAGTGGAAAACTCTGTTGGGTTGTGATCTCTCACTGGGAAGTTCCAGGTGCTTTTTTGCTTCCTGCAGAACAAAGGAAGAAAAGGAGAAGACCATGTCCATAGCTCTGAAGCAGGTGTTCAACAAGGACAAGACCTTCCGGCCCAAGAGGAAATTTGAACCTGGCACACAGAGGTTTGAGCTCCACAAACGGGCTCAGGCATCCCTCAACTCAGGCGTGGACCTGAAGGCAGCGGTGCAGCTGCCCAGTGGGGAGGACCAGAACGACTGGGTGGCCGTGCACGTGGTGGACTTCTTCAATCGGATCAACCTCATCTACGGCACCATCTGTGAGTTCTGCACCGAGAGGACCTGCCCTGTGATGTCAGGGGGCCCCAAATATGAGTATCGGTGGCAGGATGACCTCAAGTACAAGAAGCCGACCGCACTGCCCGCTCCCCAGTACATGAACCTTCTTATGGATTGGATCGAGGTCCAGATCAACAACGAAGACATCTTTCCAACATGTGTGGGTAAGTCCATGGCCAGCTTCTTGATTATTTTGTAACATCCCACCTGAACTCAGAAGGTTTGTAGAGGTTCCTTCCAGGACTGCCTTTGAACTCTGGATACCAATGTTTCCCCAAATTCCATCTCTTACACACCTGCAGTTTCTTTTTCTATATCTAAGAAACTCATTGAAATTTTGAAAAATATCATTTGTGGATACTGACAATAATTTCATGGACTTCAATCATGAAATCACACCTGTCACATACTGGGGAACATTGTCTTGGTGAAATGTCAGATTTGATCTTGCTGGCTTCCTTAGGACTAGACCTTAAACTCACCCAGTCATTCTGGTAAGGTTCTTATTATTTAACTAATTAACTAGTTAAAGTTACATGACCTCTGGTGCAGTTATGGTATTTACCTCTCAGGTTAAAAAATCCTAATGGGAGAATCCATGGATTTGTTTGGGGACCAATCAAACAAGGGGCTAGCAATCTGGGAAAATAAAGATCCTGCCATTCTGTTCCTCCCTCTCCTGATCACAGGTTATTTGTCCCAGGTTATGCTGCCAACTCTAGAACCTTGTGTAGTTGCTAGACTCACCAGGATACTTGAAATGCAAATGATTTTGTTTCCCTTGTGCTCTGAGTCATAAAACTCTTCAAGGGGAAGAGCCAAACCTTTTCTACACCTTGTATTTATTTCTTTATGCTATTGATCATTGGTGTTTCCATGCACTGACAGACTGAATTTAAAATTCAGGGTTCTTAGGCCCTAGGTTCAATGGGAAAGAGCAATCTCCTTACTTCCATTGTCATATCTCCAGTGTCTTAGCTAGCATGGTGCCTGGAAACCCTTGTAGGCACTCAGGAAATATTTGTGGAATGACTGAAAAAATACTTGTGCTGTTAGAAAGTATTATTTAAAAGCTCTGAAATGGTTGGCGGATAAAAGAAGCATTTGAAATGCATTGCTGAAATCACTTCTAGTTGGGATGCGTGTGTCCCCATGTGGCATATGGAAACTTGAGGTGGGGCGTATGGAAGTAATTAAGTTAATACTAGAAGAAAGTGCATAAATTGATTAAGGCAGTGTGTACATCTTGAAATATTCAGCACACAAACCAATTTGCTCAGAATCATGGTGTTGCCTTGACTTGTCCAGTCCCTTCATGCGATTTCTCTCTGCTGCCCCTTGCTAAGGAAGGAGAAACCCTGACTCACCAGACTAGGAGGAAGAGGGCAGATTCCAACCCCTCTCGCCAGCCATCTAATAAGCACCTCCAGTGGGCGAGAATTTCTTAGGTTCATGTCTTTTTGCACTTTCTTTGACAGTCAGAGGCTTCTTTTGTTGCTGGGAAGAATTTTTCTTTTCCAAAAGCATCACCAGCCACTGCCAATGCTCTGTGCAGAGCACATGCTTGAATAAAGATAAATAAATGTGGGCCAGGAGACCTCCTCTTTGTCCTTTCCCTTCTGTTCCTGCTTCCTGATGCTTTGAACTCTGGGCACTTCTGCTCTTGCTGGCAGCTGTGGCTACCATGTAGGGCCATGGTGTGTTACTTGAGGGTGAAGAAATTGCTGGAGGTGGTTTTAGACTTTGCTTGGAGGAAATCAGGGGGTGTCACCATGTCCCCTAGAGTAACTGACTTTGCTATCATTTTCTAGACTTTTTTTAGTCATTCACTTGGTTTGGGGTGCATACTCTCCTCATCAGAATCCTTTTCAATTTATGCTCCATAGTCCACCAATGTTCTGGGAGATCTTAATAGATGCACCATGATTTTTTCCCCATGAAAACATAAGTTTGGGAAGTCCTGAGTGAAACTGATTTCTTTATTGTAAGACTTTTAATATGCTAATATGCATTATAAATCTCCAAGAAAGGAATAATACTTTAGTATGTAGTTTTTCCTAATTTGAACCTGTTGGCTTTTTTAAAAATGGAACATCATTATCATCTTTTGGGAAATGTTGATGTATATAAATTAGAGTTGTCAAACTTTTGTTTGTGTCAGAATTACTTGGGGCTTCTGTTAAAAATATAAATTC